CTTTATTGCCTGGATCGCAATGTCTATGGCTCTCGCTAACGGAAGGGACCTTCAGTCCCAGCATTCGGTACGGGAACTCGAAGATTCCACAGCTCGCGTTACAGAGGAGGACGTCAAGGCCCTCTCGGGAACCGTGGAACGCGAATCCGCGCAGCGTGTTGACAAGGCAGACCACGGGTCCTAGTTCTCGATCCGCAAAACGCGAAACCGCGCAGCTCTCGAATAGACAAACGGATCAGAGATCCTAGCTCTCGGTGGGTGTGCGAATGCTAACGTTCTCGAAGAAGCAAAGGGACTCGCGAAGACCCTTAGTTCGCGATACGCGTGTCAAAGGACAGCCGTTCTCGAAACATAGGCCTTTTTACACGTAAGTGTTTTTTGGGGGATACTCACTTACAAGGAAAACTACAGAACTAAATACCTGCGTGGGACGACATTACCGACCCCGGCGGGATTGTTATACCGACCGTCCGACCAAGCTGCTGCTGCTGGAGTCCGTCAAAGTCAAACGGCTCAGCTCACATCGCCGATATCATAACCCCCAACAGTATCAGGATTCCTTAGACAGGGATTATCGTCTCACCTGCCCGCACGCCACGAAACATCTGCTGCATCTACCGATGTGTCCCGACTACCTGACATCGGGATGCGAGTCCGGACTAACCACAAACGAATTCAGTGTGACCGGGAAGTATTTTCAAAATACCCAGGTGAAAGGTCGACTCGTCGTCCATTCTAGGGAATTCTTGCACCCTGTGAGCACGATAAGGTTTTCTCCAAATACGAAGGGCGAGGTCCCGCTCAGCAACCTTTAAGGCCCGGGAAGCTGCCACTCGGAGGAACATCAGGATACAAACTACGGAGCAGAGGAAAAGGCCCACTTACCTGCGGGAAAGCTTCATACGTTACCTGTAGCCGCCAATCAGAGTAGTATAAGTTGGGGAGTTCTGGATACAGATTCCTGCACCGACATAATACCGACACTCTAGAACCTTCGAAGGTGGGTGTCCGTGCTAAGTTGCCGTCGTGAGCTCTACGATTTCTGGAAGTGACGTCATCAGGACCCTCGATTCCAAGAATTTTTGTTTGATTCCAGGAATTTTGCGTCACATTTCAAGAATTTTGCGCTCGATTCTAGGAATTACGCACGATCGAGAACCTTCTAGAACATTCTAGGAACTTCTAGAACATTCTGGAAGCTTCGGGAAGGATCGCTCCCAGAGCCGGCGGTCCTCTCGCGCAACGTTTTGAAGCAGCCCCTTACCCCCCACACCGGAGAGCCTTCAAGAAGCTTCGATGGACCCCCTTCCTCCCTCCCGATTCGTGTAGATTTCAAACGGCGTTATCTCGCAGAATTGCGCATCGAGGATGCAGTAGCAGCAGCAGCATCGATTCCAGGAAATTTGTCAGTTATTCGATTCCATGAAGCTTGCGTGCAGGTTTCGAACGGCAGCCACCCCGAAGCTTTCGATGGCTCTCCCCACGCCCCATGCAGACTTCAGGCGGCAGCCAAACACTGTTTTGACCTTGTTATTCAGAGTATCGAATTACTCGTAGAAGATAAGCGACCCTTTGTGCACTTCGGAAATTTTTTGATGTAGAGTTCGAGCTCAAAGTGCGCAATTCGGGTAGGTGTCTTATCGCTCGGACCGATGCAAAACAATTCCAGGAAAACCTTGGAAGCCTCGTGCAGGTTCGTCCAAGTCGAAATGGTTCGCGGCGGTGGAGTCAAAGTCATTCTAGAAAAATCTATGTATCGGTTGTTCAAATGTGCAATACCGAACGTTATCTTGCAAATTCGTGCGTCGAGAATGCAGTCCCTCATCCTCCGAGGTGTCAAATTGCACGTAGGAGATACGTAAGCGTGCGACACAACTTCGTAGGAGAGGGGCTAAGGTTCATCCTAACGTTCTAGAACGTAAGTCGCCCTGTTTGAAAGATGCATCGACCTTGACATTGATTCCAAGAATCTCTGTAGGCGATTCGAATCCTAGAAATTTGCGAAACCTCCCATCCCCATTTTATCCCTTAAGAGTTTCCTATGAAAGGAGGAGCTGAACGTGCCTTCGCTAGTTTACTGTGACAATTCGATCGATGTTAAATAAGAGGAAACAACACGAGCTCAGAGTTCGAATACAGGTACTATTAAATAGCATCGCGGAAGTGAAACATTTGATCGAATATAAAAGAAATTATAACAGCCTTTTACAAAATCAAAAAAACTTCATCTGCAATAAAAAATGGATTTCTCAACAATTAACAAAGTCGGTCGTTTGGATGACTATCTTCCGACAAAGAAATTGGCTAAATTGGAACCCCAGAAAGAATACAAAATCACCAGAATAAGAAAAGTTCAAACCAAATATGGAACGCGATTGATCCTCAATGCAGAAGACAGCTTTTCGACGAATCTACCTGCAAGGATGGCTAAAGCTTTGAATGACGATGACGATCTCTTGAAGAAGATGATGCAAGCCTGTGAGGAGAATCGAGTCCTCATGCGTTATCTCGGCGGACGGTACAACCAGATCGATTCCAATGTCTATAAACTTTGTACTTGTGCTTCAACTACTATGTATACGTGTTAAATAAATATACATCTTATTATAACTTATGTCTTTATTCATAATAAAAAAATATACATTCCCACAACCAGTTCCTTAAAAATTTCACATTTTCAGTTGAACGATTAAAATGTGGAGCATGATGATTCGTACATCGAGTGAACGAGTTTTTGCGCAATTTTTGCAACAAAGGGCATCCCAGATCTCCCACATCCACAATGTGCTCGGATCGTCCAATGAAAGCTCTCAACCAAACTTTCTTCTCTAATTCTTTTACATAGATCTTAGATGCATTTTGCAAGATGACTCGAAGAATGTATCTAGCTTGATTGTAAGCAACGTCCCCAGCGCCTCAAGATACACCATGAAAATTGCGCTCCAACCATAAATTTATACTTTTGTATTTAGCCGGTAGATGCATCCATGGACAAGGTGGTTGAAAGAGAAACGTTGCAGGCTCGGAAAAATTGCTGCTGAATGCAATCACGGATAGCTCCTTCAGGACAAACTCGTTCGAGGGCTTCTTGAAACCTTGTACGTCCACGATGAATTCAATTTTGTTGATGAACTGCGCAGGGAGAAACGATTGCAACCTCTTTATACCAATTTTTTCACCCCACCACTGATCGGGTTGTATTCGACTATACAATCGTGCAGGATCATGCAGAATGCCGACGTATCGGCAGGGAAATTGTCTTGCGCCTCGAATTCCAGACGAATATCGACGGGCCCGAGTGTGAGGGACTCGTTTTGCTTGGAGCAATCGATAACGATCAATGGAGCATAGTCGAGAAATTCATTCTTCTTCAGCAACGGTTCAGGATCCTTGCCATAGTACGTAGCTTGAAAGTTTGCATACATCTCGTACAGCGCAGCAAACAGATTATGATGAATGTCAAGATTCAGATTTCCGTAGGGATAATATTGCGAATTCAAAAAGATCTTAACGTCTCTGACCTTGCAGTGGTCAAAATGACTTGCGTTCTTATTTTTCTTGTTCTTTCTGCTTGTCTGAACACCTAGTATCACGTATCGTGGTTTTTCCAACTGAGTCGACGTCTTGACGGTCCACACGTGTTTCGAGGTGGTGGGGAGTAGAGGGTACTCGTACAGCTCCCAGGTACGAAAGCTCACGGAGATAGGTGCATCCCTCTCGATGAATCTCAGCAGCTGTATCTTTCGTCGATCCGACACCTTTACGTACGGTATCAGCCATTCCAATTTGTGAATTAGGACTTTGCATTCTTCCGGAGCAGTTTGCACTATTGCATTGAT